CTCCCGAGTGCTGGGCTCACAGAAGCATGCCACCATGACTGTTTTCTTGTCTGGATGGGGAGATGGGACAGGCCTACAGTGGGATGAACCCAATGGTGCTCCTCCCTCACCTCATGCTTAGGGTGGGGGCAGGGCTGGCTGACGGTGCAGGGGGAGAACGTTAAGCAGCCATCGGCCCCCTGCAGGAGCACCAGACTGTGGTCTACCAGATGATCCAGCAGGTGCAGCAGAAGCGGGAGCTGCAGCGGCTACAGATGGCCGGGGGCTCGCAGCTGCCCATGGCCGGGCTGCTGGCCGGAAGCCCCACCCCACTGCTCTCGGCCGCGTCTGCACCAGCCCTGCTGCCCACTGGAGCCCTGGTGGCCCCCTCGCTGGGCAGCAACACAAGCCTCATGGCGGCAGCGGCCGCAGCTGCAGCTGTGGCAGCAGCAGGGGGACCCCCGGTCCTCACAGCGCAGACCAACCCCTTCCTCAGCCTGTCGGGGGCCGACAGCAGTGGCAGTGGCCCCAAAGGAGGGGTGAGTAGGGGCTCTGGGGCCTTCCTGGCTGCCTGCAAAGGGAAGGTGGATATTCAGGGGGTCCCTGGTACAGAGCCCTGAAAAAGCTACTGTGAGTGGGGCTGGTGGGAAAACAGCCTTCCACCTGCAACCCCAACACTCAGGAGGCTGAGGCAGGAGGATCGCTGCAAGTTCAAGGCCAGTCTGGGCTGCGTAGTTTCAAGGCCAGCCTGGATTACATAGTGAGACCCTGCCTCAAGAAACAGTAGGGTAGAGCTGGGGATTTATCTCAGTGGCACCGTGCTTGCTTCACAAGTGCAAGGTCCTGAGTTCGATCCCCAATAGCACACACACACAAAAAAGATAGGTTCTCTAAGAAGCAGTGGGAGAGGGGCACAGAGCCCAGCCCTGGAAGCTGCCCTTGGCTGGCACGTTCCTGGGTCTCCCACAAAGCCTCTGGGGTGCCGTAGGCTGGGCAGGAGGCTTCAGCCGCCTCCCCATCTGCACCCGGGAACCTCAAGGCTCCAGCCCCCTTCCTGTCTTTCCAGACTGCTGACAAAGGAGCCTCAGCCAACCAGGAGAAAGGCTTGAGAGGCCCGGGGCGCTCGAGCGCGGAGCCGAGGACAGGGCTGGGAGGGCGCGTGCCATGGGCCCCTTCCCTCCGTGCTGGCCCCTGGGAGAGGCAGAGCACACCACGGTGTGAGTGGGGGTCTTGGGACCCGCCACACAAAACGGATCAGCACTTGAACGCGGAGAAGGGAGGGGCGGCCCTGGGTCCGGCCCCTCGCTGAGAGGCCCGGGGCGCTCGAGCGCGGAGCCGAGGACAGGGCTGGGAGGGCGCGTGCCATGGGCCCCTTCCCTCCGTGCTGGCCCCTGGGAGAGGCAGAGCACACCACGGTGTGAGTGGGGGTCTTGGGACCCGCCACACAAAACGGATCAGCACTTGAACGCGGAGAAGGGAGGGGCGGCCCTGGGTCCGGCCCCTCGCTGAACCTCCTAGGGAAGAAGGGGCCTCACCTGGAGTTTCTTCCCCACCTGGGCAGGTGGCAGAAGGGTCCCTTCGACTGTTTCTCACTGTCCCTTTCTCCACCCAGGGTCACAAGCTGAGCTTGTAAAAGCCTACAGATGTCGGGGCTGAGGAAGGGCAGGACGTTGGTGTCGGCCCTGGCTGTCCTCGGCACCCCGCTCCGTTTGCACTATTGGCTTGAGGAGTTGCTGAGGGTGGGCAGAGGCGTGCGTGAGTGTGCGTGCGTGCGTGTGTGTGGTATGTGTCTGTCATCTGTCTGTCTGTCTCCCCCGGACCTGGGGCATCTGAGGGCAGGGATAGGAGCGCTGGTTGGCGCCACGGAGAGCCCCAGCTCTAGTCTGTGCCCTCCCCACTTTGCCTACTCTAGTCCCTTCCTGGGCACAGTGGCAAGGAGACCCCAAAGTGCACCCTGGCCCCAGAGTGATGACGGGGACCAGGCCCTGAACCGGAGTCGTGTCCTGCCTTCCGTCCCCGCCACCCACTCGGTCTCAGGCCCCTGCCCCCTGCTGGTGTGACGCTTCTTCCCGGGCATGAGGGGAGCCGTGGGGCTTGGGGGAGCGCCAAGGGGGGTGAAGCGCCCCTTATCTCAGCAAAAGCCCTGTTTCCACAGCTAGCCAGCCACCTCCCGCTCCGCCGGGATGGAGTCACTCAGCTGACTAGTGCTGCCCCTTCTCCCACAGCTGTGTCCCGGCTGCAGTGGGCAGTGTGTCCACCATGGCCCATCTATCGGGGGCTCTGGCACGAAGGCAGGAGGCCCTGTTCAGTTGCACTGGGGTGGACGCCCCAATCTGTCCCGCTTGCACGTGTGCATAACTGTGTGTGTTTCTGCTCGGGTTTTTGTTGTTGGTTTTTTTTTTTTTTCTAATAAAGAAAAGAAGATGTGTATATTTTTGGCAATGACAGAAATGTAGTGCAGATATATTTTTGCCTGTGCTGCTCAACTGTTTTTTTTTTTCTGATACGGAAAAAAATATTAATATTCCTGTTGATAAGACTTTGTAAGATGTTAGGGCGCCAGTGGATGGGGTGGGTGGGAATCCTTCCAAGAAGATTTCTTAGGCACTTGCAAGGGCTTGGGGGTGGGGGGTGGGGGAAAGGGACATTTGTGATGACCTCAAAATACTCATTTTTATTAAATGCTAAATATCAGTTAGACATGTTAGAACTGAGCATTTTATTCATCTTAATCTGTTCTGCTCTTTAACTCCCAGTCCCCAAGCCACTGTAAAACAGCCACCTTCAGAGGTCCGCAGAAGAGTTGCTCTTTCCCACCCTGCCCTTGCCCAAGGATCAAGGTTGAAGGCCACTCTGTCCCGGTGGGATGGACCCTGAGGCGTGGTGTGAAGCCAGGGAAAGCACTGGAACCGAGATCCCCGGCCCCAGTCACCTCCTCTGTGTCCCCAAGCCTCCCGAGCCCTTTCTGCCCCTCAGGTGGGGAGGCCAGGCTTGGGGACATGGGGCTCGGGACGGCCAAGAGCCTTTTTCCCGTGGGGTGTACTAGGAAAGCTGTGAAGAGCTTCAGGGAGGGAGGGCAGCACAGATGCAGCAGGAGGGCTGTAAGGACTCCTCTCCCAGCCTCAGTCCGGTTTTTGACAGTGAACTTGAGTGCGTGTGTGTGTGTGTCTGTGTGTGTGTCTGTGTGTGTGTGTGCGCGCAGATGTGTGGTACTCTTGTCTGGGGGAGGGGAAGGATGTGGTTTGCAGAGCGGAAGTGGCCTCGGAATGCTTGGCTGGAGCCTGTGTGTCCCCACCCTCAGGGAGGTGTGTGGGTGTGGGTTCCAGGCCCCTGCTGAGGGGTCACATAGGGGTGGGGTGTCCTCTGGCTCTTGGCTTCCCTGTGGCAGCTCCAAGCCCAGAAGGGTAGGAGCTGACAGCCGCGACCTGGCCACTGGGTCTTTGGCTCCTTGCCAGCTGTGTGTGAGCACGCGTGTTCATGTACACATACATGCTGCGCCCAGCTTGGGTGTCTAGCGCTGGCTGTCTTAGATCCGAGATGAGGGGTCCTCTTTGTAGACAGTAACATGAGACTTACAGGGGTGCCTTTAGAGAAAAGTTTGCCCTATCTGGGTTTTAGGGTCCTGCTGCCTCTTGGGGAGTCTGCCTTTGAGGTTGGTTAAGGGGACGCCTGCCTTTTCATGTGCTGAGACCTAGGGAGGCAGTAGTCCCGACTCAGCCTGGACTAGATAGGTGAGGGGTGTGTGAGCCAGGGCCAGCTCTGCAGGGTGACCTTCACGTGTCATTGTCCCATAGTGGACAGCTTTGCCAAGACCGGGGGGGCTCCCCATTCTGTACCCCAGTGTTTCCTGGGGAAGAAGTGGGGGGGGGCTTTCTGCCTAAGACAGGTAGGGCCAAGCAGCCCTGGTTGCTCTTACTCTGGCCACATCTCCTTCCCCCGGCCATTTTGTCACTGAAGAGCTGGGGCCTGGGTAGAGTCCACAGTCGTCCACTGCCAGCTCTCCAGCCCAGCGTGGGGGTGGGGTGGTGAGACCGAAGACCCAGGCCCTGGCTGCCCCTTTGGCCCCAGCCTGTTTCCTTGTAGCAGACCCTCCCCAGGGGGCGGGGGGGGTGCAGCCTGTTTGCAAACCCAGAGGCTGCTTTGTCTTTCTAAAACCTTTATATCCTCAGCCCAAAAGGCAATGAATGCCCCCATCCCGCACCTCCAAGCCCGGAATTGTGTATAACCTGGACCTTGTATCTTTGTATAAGGGATGTTATTTGTATGAAGGGCAGTTCGTAAACAGCACTTGTTCTTTTAATAAAAGACTTTTACAAAAAAAAAAAAATCCAAAGAGACCTTTTGTCTGGCTTTTCTTAAGGGAAAAGGAGGTGGGCTGCCAAGGGAGGGTGGGGTGTGGTCTGTGACCCTTCTTCCGCATTGGGCGATGGCCCCAGCCTGTTTTCGTTGTTGCTTTTAAATTTGCGCAGGGTATAGCGAGGTTGCCCAGGCTGGACCGGAACTCGGGGCCCTCCTGCCTCAGCCTCCCAGATGGTGAGATCGTTGTTCAACTGGCTGAGTGTAGCGCCGTTCCCACCCTGCGCTTTCGGGAGCACGGCCTTCAGTCTCGCCGAGGGGCGGCAGCCTGACCGCACAAGAGGCGGCGCCCGCAGGCAGGTCTTGCTAAGGGGTGCAGGGGA